GCATTTCTAATCTCTGTATATCTGATTATTACTAGTCACAGTCGGTTACTTTCTGAGCTCCTTGGCATCTGAGCATAGATATAAAGTCATCAGGTAGATTTCAGTGGTAATGTTTTTCACATCTACCAATTATTAAGGAGCAAATTTTTATGCTTTGAAGAATTTTTTTTAATTTTTAAAAAATTTATTTATTTATTTTTACGCCCACTTCCCAGATAGCACCCTCCCATAGCCTTTATTTCTTAAACACACACATAACAGCAAAATCACAAATAGGGACAAAAATGTCTCCTCTTTTACTGATCTCAAGGGAAATAGAGAAGTGCTTCCTAATGTGGGGCCAGCAACTCTCTCAGCTTCAGATATCAATAAAGCACATTATCTTCTTTTCTCAAACATACTGATTTAGCGCCTGAAGTAACATATACTTTTAAAAGATCACGGAGATCATATGTTGTCCAAAATGTCAAATGAGAAAAATATGAGTTAGAAATTCATGACTTAAGTCTGAACAATCTAGTTATAATTTATATACCTGGATGGTTGAAAACTGAACTTTATTTGGTTTTCAAAGTCTGTAATTAATTAGAAGATTTACAAAACTATACTTTAAAAATTATAGCCAAATGTATGTCTGTAAGCTCAGCAAGGGACCCAAGGCAAAAGGAGCCTGAGTCAGTGCAGACTACACTGGGAAATCCTGCCTCAGAAGAGGACAGGAGAGGGGAGGGGAGGGCAGGAAACACTATAACACTCTCTAATATATGCTTTATCAGGTATCAGGAAGATTCTGTGGTCACATAAGTTTGGGATGATTTGTTGAATTAAAACAAGTTAATGGAGCTAGGGATACAGTTCAATGATAAAGCACTGCCTAGTATATCCTCAGTACTGACAAAAAATGAAAATTTATATAGTTTTATGAGTCTAGATTATACAGACATGTCCTTCTTAGGCCCTTAGTATATTTACATACTAACTGAATTTCTAAGAGAAAAATTTAGCATACAGCTAAATCATCTATTACTCATCTATTGAATCTTTTATCCACATAACATTTCACACATCTGGTATCCCCAGGGCATATCTTGTAAAATGACTAACTGGAAAACTACTGAGGGAAGAGTGTGAAAATAAAAAATCGATTAAGTATGTTTGGTTCCTCTTATGTTTTCAAAGAAGACTAAGAATTCATTCAACAAATTTATATTAAACACTTTAAACATGTCCAGTGGTGTCATAGGTTAAGACGGAAGTTATTAATAGTACCACTTTGCCAAACCATTCCTACATTCCTACTGAAATAAATACACATGCATTATGAATTTAGGTACTTTGCAAATATTAATAGATGATCCACTACACGATAATAGGAATTTAATTTTCACCAAAAAAAAAACAAAAAAAAAAACAAAAAAAAACCCCACCACCACCAACAACAAAAAAACTGTAAGGCAAAATACTGGTGTGGTCCAGGGAAACTTCAAAAGGTTTCCTTAAACTTCCCACAAAGAAGCAAGATCTCAAAGACTAGCTGTGGAGGAAAGCTGCTTCCCTGCTGCACAGTGCTGTTTCCACTCACTAGCTCTATTGATCTAAAGCATGAGCTTTCTACCTCTAGTTTGGATCTAAAACTCTCATCACTACAGCAGGAGTGAGGTCAAAATGCATATGGACTAGGAGTCACACAGGACATACAAAGTCAGCAGTACAGAGAAGGGCTAGGCCGAGCAGGAGGGCTTCATACACTGGATACCTAGGGCTAAGCAACTAGGCAGCGAAATCATGTGACCCCCCCAATTTACATTAGCAGATCTACTTTACATGCCCCCTAAAATATGGCATGTGGCCATGTATCAGATCTTCTATGTAAAGTCTATGAGGAGAACCAGAGAAAAGCCACGAATATAATTTATAGTAAACATTCCAGATTACACAGACACTCTATTGTTCAAGGAAAAGTAAAAAAGGAAAAGCAGGCAAACAAATACAAGCGTCATAAAAATACTATGGGGACACGGCTTAGTCACTTAAACTCCTACCTTGCAAGTATGAGGACCTGAGTTTGATCCCCAGAACCCATGTAAGAAAGTCAGGCATGATGGCACATGCTTACAATCTCAGCATTTGGAAGGTGGAGACAGGCAGATCCTTGAGTTTCAACGACAAGTCAGCCTAGCCTAATCAGTGGGTTCCAGGCCAGTGAGAGAACCTGTCTCAAAAAATAAGGTGGAAGGTTGGGGACATGGCCCAGTGGCAAGAGTGCTTGCTATGCAAGTTTGGGGACTTGAGTTCAAATCCTAACTGCCACATAAAGAGCCAGGCTGGCATAGCTATGCATGCCTGTAACCTCATCTTTCAGGGGTAAGGACAGGTAGATCCTGAGAGCTCACTGGCCAGTTCAAACAGGTGAGCTTCTGAATCAGTTAAAGACCTGTGTCAAGGTAGTAAGGTGGACAGTGATGGAGAAAGGTCCTGCTCCAGCCTCCGCATATGTACATATAGGTGTGCTTACCTGCATACACATGTGCATGCACCCCCCCACACACACACAAAAGTGGATGTCTCCTGCGAATATAACACCTAAGATTGCCCTCTGGTCTCCATGTGCATATGCATTTACATGCACATGCCCACACATACCCACACATGTATACTTACTCCCCGCCCCCGAAGAAAAATACTATGCAATATAAAACGACAAAGTTTGAGATGTAGAAAGCATGAGCAAGCTAGGAGAAACCAAAGTAATTTTAGATCATTGCTTTGCATCTTTTATAAAAGAAAAAGAAAACCCTACACAAATTTTAAAAAGAGACAAAGATGAAACCATGAAAAAATTAATAAAAAGATAAATGGTAGAGACAGGAAAAAAATGAACTAAAGACAGAAAAGTGAGGGAAAACATGCGGAAGTAAAATAGATTATTAGAAGTGAAATAATGAAAAGTAGGATTAATATTATTTAAAATCAAAACAGGTACACCTTGAAAACTCCCTTAGCAGGAGGGAAAAAGGGTCAAAGAGGCATAAAGGGGATGTGTCAGACCCAGGGAGTTAACAAAAATACAACATAAGCAAACAAGTGTTCTAGAAGATGAGTAACAAAACATGATGATTATCTTAAAATATCCCAGAAAAAAAGTCATTCTGTCAAGGATAGACTTGTAGAACAAAGGGTGTTTAATGAGGTAAAAACAATAAAAAGAAATAAATACCTAAATCTACTCAGTTGATTATACTTAAGGATAAAGAATCACACAGACAAGTAGGGTAGAGGTGTAGGACCAGAAAGGTTGAAGAAAAAAAAAGAAGGAAATTTACAGCTTCCTCAACAGTCTCTGCAAAACTATAACCATAAAGTAATCACGCTTGCCAGTAGTTAATATGGGACAGGAAGTCCCAGACATGAAGTTGGCGACCATGGTGATAATAAAACCTGTTCTTTCTCCTTCACACCAGCTCCTCTGCAGATGTTTGTTTTATACAGTTATACCTGTCTGCATATGTGTCATTATATATAGTGTGAATATATATATTCATATAAAAAGATAAATGGTAGAGACAGGTAAAAATTGAACTAAAGACAGAAAAATGAGGGATGTTGCACAGTTCCACAATGCTTTCTGGTATAATGTCAAGAACATCTGGTGACTTGACACAGCCTGGTTAAAAACAATAAAATGCTAATCAAGGCATTACATCTATGT